GTTATGCTAACACAAGTAGTTTCTGAAGTCACAAGAGTCTGCAATCAACGCATTTGTCAACAGTACTTCCTGTAGAGAGCGAGAAACAGAGAGCAAAGAGGGAGGGGGGGGGAGGGAGGAGCAGAGGAAGTGAGGGAGAGAGGGAGAGAGGGACAAGGGCGGAAGGGGGAGAGAGAGAGAGTTCTCTCTGCAGCTATCGTAAGTTACCGGAGGCAGCAATCAGAATAAATTAGTTCAGAGAGGGAGAGAGAGAGAGAAAGCAAGACAGAGAGAGAGGCTGCATGTTGTACATTCACTTTGGAGCACACTGTTACCAATACCCCGAACGGTATGCATACATTCTCCATTAATTCAGGTTACACTCAGAGTCGTTCGCATTCACTTTTTGCCCATTTGTTTGTTAGTTGTCTGCAAGGTGGATGGGTGGCAAGTTCGGTCAAAAGGTGTTGTAACTTCCTCATAAAACTTCAAAAAGGGGACCTGTTAAACGCTGTATACCACATGAAGAAGCACCAAAGCGAAAGAAACCAGATTACTAATCGTGAAAGCAAGAATGTCTGGGATGAGAGTCGCTGAAGCACTGGCATCCACGTGTGGAAAAAGTCGGACAACTACTGTAGCGGTCGCACTCATACATACACAAAGAGAGAGAAAGAGAGAGAGAAAGAGAGAGAGAGGAGGGGGAGGAGGGGGGGGAGGGGGGAGAGAGAGGTTTTATGTCTTCGTTATTGCACTTCAGAGCAGTAACTCCGAAGCAAAACGTACCAAGTCCAAAGAAGCATGGAAGAAAGTCCGGCAAATAATGACTGGAGGTTGGAGACCAAAGCAAGAGAAAAACAGTCACCGGGGCAGAGGGGAGGGAGAGAGAGAGAACGGAGAGGGAGATAGATAGTCGTTTATTCGTGCCAAAGCACTAGAATCCAAGCCGTAGGCAGGGAGTTCAAAGCAGCACAGATCAAAAGAGAGAGGGACGTGAGGAGCAAGAGCCGACAGAGATAATAAAAAACTTCCCTGCGGTAGTTCATAGCACACAGTTGGGCAACCAGACATACGCATACGGGCCTCGGCGAGTACTTCGGTAGACAAATTCGTACGGGAGTATGCATATGCAATGTACAAACTAGGTAGGGGTCCTGATGTGTGCCATTACGCTCCTTGGAGGGCCTGGGATGCATAAGAGAGAGATCTTCATTCATCATTGTCATTGCCCCCCTCCTCCTCCTACTCCACCTTCTTCCTCCCCCTCCCGTTGTCCACACCATCCTCCACATCCTCCTCCCACTTTTCCTCTTCACACACGACGTGGAGCGCACTTTCTCAATTTTGAAAAAGTGAAAAGAAAGAGAAAGAACAGAGAGAGAGATTACTCCTCCTCATTCTCCACCCCCTCCTTTTCATCATCATCCTCCACCTCCTCCTCATCATCATCCATGTCATCCTCCTCCTCCTCCCACATTCTCCTTCACGCACTCAAGCAGGCTTGCTTGTTTTCAATTTTTGTGAAAGTGAAAGAAAAGAAACGGAGGAGAGAGAGAGAAAGTTCTTGCTTCACAGTCATTGTCCTGGACATCATCCTTCACCTCCTCCTCATTCTCCTTCGCACACGCCATGTGGTGCAAGCTTTTTCAATCTTTTGAAACTGCCATGAGTACCATCCAGCCCCCCGGATCAGGGTCTGGACAGC